ATGTATAAAACGAGTGAAAATCGCAATGAAAACAGCAATGAATGAGTTTATGTAGCTTATCATATGGCGGTATGATTTATGAGCTCCCGGTGCCCGTAATTACCTGACTGCTCGACCCGTAGTCGGACGCCTTGCCTAACATACTGGCGCACGAAATTCAGGCGCTTATCCCTGGCGTTACTGAAGCCGTTGAGACCGATATGGGTGTCACACTTCGGTACCAGGCTGGGTAACTAGACTTCCCACCGGCTGGCCCGCATGCGAAACCGGTGAGATACCAAAGAGAGGTATGTATACTAAAATCGGGTATAAAGCAGCAGCTAAACCAGGGTAAAAAACAGTACCTCTTGGATGTGATCCTAATTATGTGTTTTTGAATATATTATTAGTTTTTTTAAGGATTTTTGTTTATTTTTTTATGAAAGGTATTAAAAACGATTCGTTATATTCCTGATGTTAAATCAATTTGAGTATAATTTTCGACTCCTAATGTAAGTAATGTTAAGCAAATGCCTAATGGTTTGTACAGTTTTGGTGTACACATTAGAAACACATTATTTAAGAGATTTTTTGTTATGTATTACTTGGCTTTGTCTGTAGATTATGAGCAAAAATAATTATTATGTAGTTTTGAGTATAATAACGATTAAAGCGTATGATTTGCTTAAAAAATATAAAGTAGTGAAAAAACTAATGAAAAACAAAACATAAGTTTATAATTCACATGAGAAATTACAGAAAGGCGCGGAAACTGAAGTCAAAATTGAGACACTCTTTGAACTCGGATTTCGTGACAAACGAGTCGTTGTTTTGGTCGCAAAACGTGAACATCTGTTGAGCGCAGACACGGAACAGAGGAAACAGTTTTTTGATTAATTGGATCAAATCTTTGGTCTCTTGTCTTGTGATCCTTTGGTCTAAATTCAGATCCAATTCATTAAACTTGGATTCAATGGACGCCGATATGGACGACTCGTTTTGGTGTCCAGTTTTGCGGGTATTCTCCGACACAAAGACGCCCAACAATTGAGTGTTAAATAAGACTCTTTGAGAGCTAATGCAGAGCCTCTTGTCTTTGCGTCGGTTGGGGTTCTGTTCGCGTGATGTCGAGCGACGGCCTATTAGTCCACAAATACAGACAATTAGTTCATAATTGCATCAATGAATGGTCTGAATGTGAGTTAACCTGAATTACTGCAATTTGGAGATACGTTTCGTGTCTAATGAGTGGACAAAACATTTCAATCAATGGCTAAGGCATGAGATAATGTGAGAAGACATACAGTGGTGTGACTCTTGGGTCGACCGGTCATCACATCGACACACCAACAGTAACCTGAACTCCGGTGACACTGAACCGACTGATGGACGCAACCAATTGAGTGATCAGATGAATGGTAAGTGAAAAGGATTACATAAAAACAGTGCAATCAATGAGTGGTCAACAAAAGTCACCGCAAAGAGTCCNAAAAACAGTGCAATCAATGAGTGGTCAACAAAAGTCACCGCAAAGAGTCCATCGCGAGTGCACTCCGGGATAAAGGCGTCTGAGTTCTGGTCTCTGGTCTGGGCGTTGGATCGGCTCACCAGACAATTGTTGGCCTAATTGTGTGGTAAGTATTCAGCGATTATCTCACGAATCGTGACCACAAACAAGTGATGGAAACATACCTCGCATTCAGTGAATGTGAATACAAGACACAAACCGATGAGTGAATACCACAACAATATAGCCATTAGTGATAGCAATAGGACGTTGGGATCAGATGTGTTTGAAATGCATTTAGAAATAAATGAAATTAAGTATAAAATGAAATAAAAGTGAAAATAAATAAAAAGTGACGAAAAAAGTGAAGTCTTTTTGTTGTTGTCTTCACTTTTGTTGCAGTATTACTGTCTCAGCGTTGGTGTTGTCATAGAAACCACACAAACATGAGATTTGTTTGACAAGTTTTGGCCAAAAAAAAGTTTTTCACTTTTAAATCACTCGTCAAACAAACAACACGTGTAGTGATTAAGTCGTGTTGTGAACAGTGAGTCCAATATATACCACGGTTACCCTCATTATCATGATATCGATGCTGAGGAATATATTGTTTCGCAAACTGTAATCGTTTCATACGACATGTGCCCCGATATGTGTCCAAAGAGGGTCTCACGAAACACTTGCACCCATTCATGGCTCACATGAAGGTGAAGAGTCCTTTCATTGGATCCATGGATTACATGGAGTTGATCGATGACTTGTATGACGATGACCATGATGGTATGAATGTGTCCACTATAACGTAATAAGAGTATCACTAAAACAATAGCCGTTTATTTGGCAGATGAGGAGAGATGGGATTACATGCAACTGTTGGACACGAAGTACTTCACAGGAGACTCGATGCGATGACTTAATATAAAGTCTGTTGATGTGTCTGAAGAAGAATTTATGCAAATACTAAGGGGCGGGAAGTCATTGGCAAGTATTCATGCAAATAGCCATTCAATTGGTGAGACCCAGAAGGAGAGCCCCGACAGCCAGAGTGCGGACCCAAAGACAGGCAAAGAATCGCACAAATGATTGGCACGTATTTAGACCATTGTTTGGATGCATGTGTTGCACCGATAGTCTGGTCTCTTATTTCGAGACTAATTAATACTTGATTTATCATAATATTGATCTCATATTGAAATAAGTGTTGTTAACAAAATGTTTATCTCATTGTATTCATTGTATGATTTACTTAAGGAATAGTTATTTACAACTCATATAATGAGACAATTGTTGATTCAATTCATTGAAATACAAATCGTGATAGAAATTGAATTTTTAAAATTAATGTTTGTTTTTATTAAAAATTTTTAATATATTTAATACAATCTCATCACTATTTTCTAAATAAGTAAACTAATTTATAATACTGTACGTACCGTTTAATACAATAGTTTGTTTTTGTGATACAGTAATATACAGTAGCATACATCAATCATATGAAGTAATATAAAACCAAACTAAAAATAATATTCATAAAGTAGTATATCAACATTTGTATAATAAATGTAAGGCATAAGTATGAATTCCTATACTGGAATCCTAATATTTGTCCTAGCTGTTTTTTTTTGTAAATTCCAGCGCTAAGTCTAACAGAACTTGACTGTAAGACAACAGAATTTATCACATATTTAATGATTTATCTCAACATACAGTACTAACAATTATTAGTAACTTATTACTGATACAATTCAAGTGTTTTCCATTAAAAGCTAATTATTTGATTATTGGACGCATTTCTGACTCTTTTGATGGAAATGGATTGACTCCTATGACTGGCTTCCGATGCATTGCTCTCCTGTTTGGTGGCCCGTCTGTGACCCCCATTATCATTAGACGAGTCGTTGGAGGGCTCGAGCGAAATGGTTTTACTCAACGATTTTGAGCGCATACTTGTGAACATATTACTTGAGGCAGTCCTGTATACTGAGGACAGGTATCTCGACGGGTGTCTACTCTGGTATGACTTTCGCACGAATGTCCGCGCCTTCTCGTTAAGTAGTATTTGAAACATGAATATAAAAACGCCCTAAAAATAGATTATTTTGATAATTAACTTAAATTCCTGACCAAAACATCTTATAAATACCTGCAATCCATTGAATATAATGAATAGATAGGAAAACCATTGCCCGAACTCATGGATATACAGAAGAAACGAAATCCAAGTGATTCCCAACACAACAACCAGTGATACAAAGCCTTTCATCCATGAGAAACTCTTTGAAAGTTGATCTGCAATTGAACTGATGTGCGAATTGGTTGTCGTATTCGAGATATCCTTCTCTTGAATAATCTTTTTCTTGACTTTTGCTGAAAATGCTTCCCTTAGAGCCAAATACATGATCAAAGTGTTGGCTAATATAATGACCAG